GTTCAGGGCTCGCCGGGCTCCCCAGTTCAGGGCTCGCCGGGCTCCCCAGTTCAGGGCTCGCCGGGCTCCCCAGTTCAGGGCTCGCCGGGCTCCCCGTTCAGGGCTCGCCGGGCTCCCCCTGACTGACCAGCCCGGCGCGCTGGGACGGGATGCCTCTAAGTGCCCCTGCTCTCCCCGCAGTCGGGCCGCCAATGCTCATCCCCATGTACTTCCAGTACCAGATCATCACGACCATGATCTCACGCCGAGACTGGGTGGTGAGTCAAGGGGTACAGGTGGGCCCCGGGGGCCTGCACGTTGCTCCCGGTCCCTGCCCCCGGGGTGGGGGGGGGGCGGCCCGATCCCTCTCAGGAAGGGACCTGCTCTGAGGCTGCCAGGATCTCTGCCACATCCCTACACGTTCCCCTGTACCCACACCCTGCGGGGCCAGTGGGGGGCCACGGCCTTTGCAGAGCTCCCTCAGAAAGCTCCTGCAGGCAACGTGATGAGAGCCAAATTGGGCCCGCCTGTCCGCCACCCCGGCCGTTGCCTCCCGCGTCCCCGCATTCCCCGAGACCCCGTGGCCGGGGCGCACCACGCTCCCCGTGGTAAAGGGACAGCAGCCGGGCAGTGGCTGAGCTGAGAGGTGGATTCGATTGCTCGGCCCGCACAGCAAGGCCGCTCTGTTCCGCAGAGATGCGGCATCAGAGTTCTGGAGGCCAGAAGTCCAAGACGAGGTGTGGTCCGCATAGGTCCTTCTGTGGGCGGTTAGGCAGGACCTGGTCCGGGCCAGTGTCCCTGGCTGCTGGGCGGCTGGGTCTTCTGCCTGGGTCTCGGGATTGTTGTCCCTGCATTCATCTGTGTCTGCGTCCAGAGTCCCCTTTCTTAAGAACGCCGGTTGCAGTGAGCTAGAGCGCACCCTATTGACCCCATCGGCCACGACCCTATCTCCAAATAAAGTCATGTGAGGCCCTGGGATGAGGGCTTCAACATGTGCATTTTAGGGGACACGATCCAGCCTGTAACACCAGGCTTGGCGGAAGCTCCAGATTCTGTGTCCAGAGAGAGAGAGTGCGTGTGGTGCACGCCCCTGTCGTTGGCTTTATGTGCATGTGCAGGCGGGATTCGGCATAAAAGGTGATCAGAATGACCTGGATGGAGTAGTCACCAACAGGCAGAGTCTGCGGCAAAGTGGGGTTCGTGGGGACAGGGACGGTGCCCCCTGCCCTGGAGACCAAGTGGAGGGTCACTTAGGATCACGGGTTGGTTTGTTTTCTTAGTCCAGTTTTATAAATGAAAATATTGAGACTCTGAGGGTTTGGGGACTTGCCCAGGGTGACACCAAGGGGTGGGTCAGGCCCTTAGAACCTAGGCCATGTCCTGTACTGTCCCCCCACTTCAGCTACCAATCTCTCAAGTAACAGTCCCTCATATTTCTATAGCGTTTGCAGGGCTTCAAAGTACTTCGCCTTGTCCTCTCTCACTGAAACTGTGGGCGAAGGGGCCACGCCTGTTGATTCTGCTGATGTCCAGGACTGGGACTCAGGAGCCCCGGGTGAGGGGTGTGGGGGTGAGCGAGGCAGCGGGACTCTGGAAGTCTCTGCCAGTCCTGTGTTGGTAGAAACTGTACCACCCACTTCTAGGGCACGATGTTTTCCCAGAAGTGAGCCTTTCATCCGTACTTACTATGTCCCAGCACGGCCACCCTCATTATGTCATTTGACCCTGGCTTATGAGTGAAGGGACACGGGCATGATGGGAATTTGAGCCCAGATCTCTCGCCTATGGTAACTACTGTTTCCACTGGGCTCCCTGGGGCCTGGAAGGAGTCACTCAAGCTGAAGAGGAGTTTGAGCCCTGCTGTGTGGGGTTTCGTGGTGCTGCTGGGCGTATTTTAATGAACTTTTATGGCAAATGACTCCTGCCTAAATATATACTTTTCTTTTTACTGTGCTTGTTCCCCAAGGGACAAAGCGCTCAATAAGGACAACAGGAAAGGAAATAAGACTGTGCCTGGATGGGATCAGATGGCAGACCCAGGGAAACCTGATAGGGCCCCTAGGTCTTTCGGGGCCCCCCGCTCGGTGGTGGGGAGTCTGGGCAGCCCTGCCCTTGACCCTACTGGGGAGTAGGGCTCCAGCTGGGTGGGAGGGATAGGCCTCCAGCCTTAGGCTCCTTCTTTGAAGCAGCTGACTGCAGTCAGTGCTCGGTGCTGAGGATTCAGGGAAGATAAGATCCGGTGTCCCCCACCCCCAGGGGTCCGTGACTGCGTGGGGCAGAGGTGGGTCCTGCGCTGCGCTTTTCTGATTTACGGTAACAGCGAGCTTAGGTGCCAAGTGCAGCCCTGGCTTGGGGCTGTGGTCCTCAACAGGAGCAATTCTCTTGGGCCAGTTGGCAATATCTGGAGACCTTTTTGATTGTCACAACGCAGGGGAGATTGGGTGCTCCTGGCATCAGGCATCTGGTGGGCATCCAGCCGGCATGCTGCCGAGCATCATGTCGGGTATGGCACAGTCCCCCCACAGTGAGGGCTTATCCAGGCCCAGACGCCAGTCATGTGGAGGAGAGGGCTTGATGCACTCGGAGAGCCTCAAGGAGGGAGGTTTTTGCCCCCCTGGCAGTGTTGGTGGTGACCGTATCCTGGAGATGCTTCTCAGCCGCCCTCCCTGGAGGTTCTGCGTCCGACACCACAAACCGCTCTCTCCTGAAATTCTCCCTGTCAGCTTCCAAGTCCCACCTCTGCTGGTTCTCCTCCACCTCTCTATTACCCCCGCACATGCTTTACACCCTATCCCTGAGACCAGTGGTTCCGGGGTCATGGGTGGCTCTGCACAAAAAGAAATAAGATTGGCCCCATGGATATACATGTATTTTCTACTGTACTACGTACACACACGAAAGAAACGAAGGCGAATGTGATGAAGTGTAGGAGCAGAACTTGTAATGCTTGCTTCTCCCACCCCCTTAAAGACCCCTCGCTGGATCCCAGGTCATGTCCGGGGCCCACTGCCGCCCGTCCAGACTCTCCCTTCCCGCAGACCTCCCAGCTGCTCCCCTCTGCTCGCCTCCTCAGCTGACGACACCCATGCGGGGACCAGCCTGGATTCCTCACGACTAAGCAGTCCCCAAACGCAACTGCCCAGGCCTCCTAGATCATTCTGGAATCTGTATCTCCTCCTTGGGGCTGTGGGCCTTGCTCTGGGTCTCCCATCATTTCGTGTCCATCTCCCGATGGAGGCCTTTCCTAAATTCGAACGTCAGGTCAGGACCACCCCCATGCTCCCCTTGCTTCTGTCACCTTCCAAACGGTATTGAAGGGATATCTTTATAAGCCTGTCCTTCCAGGCGCAGTGCTCCCGAAGGCCCTCCTTTGGCTCCCAGCACCCAACTCTGCCCACGAATAGAGAGGAGGCATTCACGGAGTTTGAGGAGCTTAACCGCACGCAGACTTGAGGATGAGTTTGCCAAGCAGACGAGGGTGGGCAGGAGGCCCAGATGGAAGTGACCCTGCAGTGTGACAGAGCCTGGCCTGGCCGGGTGCACGTGGGTCGGGAGACTGGCTGCACGAGGCCAGGTTGGCGGGCTGGCGTGCGGAGGGCCCATGCGCCCTACCCAGGGGCTGGATCTCATCCTGTATCCCCTAGTGGGGAAGGAGGCGAGTGGGGGCTTTGAGGATGGCAGCGTCACCACCCATGGGGGGAAGATCTCCATGGCGACAAAGCGCAAAGGGACTGGGTTAGAGTCGTTCAGAGCTTTTCCTTGCGGGCTACACTCACTGTTGCAATACATGGCCAACCCATGGCCAACTTCAGTGGGAGGTCTCTCCCCAGCCTGCAGATGGGGGCACGGAGGCCCAGCTGAATACATCACCACACAGAGCCAGCGGGGAGCCGGGACTCACACGGGCAGCCCGACCCAGTGCCCGTTCTCGGATCACTACCCTGCCAAGGCTCTGGAGAGGAAAAGTGATGGGGGGGGCGGGGGGGAGGAAACCGTGCAAAGGCCCCGAGGCAGGAATAACCTGGGTCAGGGTGGCCCAAGAGAGGGTTCGTCCTGATCCCACTGAGCTCTGTGGGAAAGGCAGCTTCTTCTATTGGGGCTAAGAAGGTGGCTCTGGTTGCCATGGTACCCAGGGGAGAGCAGGAGACCAACGGGAGGCTCCCGCTATGGCCCAGTGGAGGCACGCAGCCTCGGGTCAAAGAGGTGGTGGGGAGAGAGGGACACCCGCCACAGAGCACCTGGCTGGGAGGTTTGCCATGGAGGGTGGAGCAGTCAGGGCAGCCGAGGGAAGTGCTTGTCCAGGTGAGGGAAGACCTGCAAGCTCAGGATCCCATGGCCACCCCAGCGAGGGGCAGGAAGGGAGAGGGGACAGGAGAACTGGGCATGGAGCGGGGGGGGGGGGGAGCGACTAGCATGTGAGAGGTAGCTCGTGGGGGGGCCCATCTGGAGAGGATGGACAGTATCGTCGGCCCTTTGCCCTGCCAGGAAAGAGATCCCAGGTGCTGATGGGTAAGAAGGACATGGCCGAAGGGCAGTTGTTGGTGGGGGGGAGGTCCATGTACATTCAGAATCCCTGGGGCCGTGAAAGGGCTGCTCCTGGCTGACCTCTCCTGGTCCCTGCCCTGTTTCCCTGAAGCAAAGCCCCCAGCTCCCTCCTGCGGCTCACTCAGCATTTCCCTGGAAACAAAGACGGTCACCAGCCTTGTGCAAGCAAGCATCACATCCTCCGTGGGCCTGGTGCCCAACTTCCTCGAGGCCTGTTGGGGGTTCTTGGACACTTTTGCCTCTCGGGGCGTGGGAGGGCTGTGTGCACATCGGTGATCAGGATGTGGTGCTGGGGTGGGTGGTGGTCCCGTATCCAATCTCGTTCTCTCTGCAGGACTTGGCCTGGGCTATGAGCTACTATGCCCGGTTCTTCATCACCTACGTCCCTTTCTATGGCATTCTGGGAGCCGTCCTTTTCCTCAACTTCATCAGGTACCTGCGCTTGGCCTTGACAGGACTTTGACAGGAGGGCCCATGCGGAAGGGCTCCGAGCTCCCCACTTCCTGCCCAGGCTGTCTGGGGCTGAGGGAGAGGGTCTGTTCCCACCGTGGCCGGGCCCCGTGGCAACTCCCGTGGCTCCCACGCTGAGCTGTGCTCTCTTCCAGGTTCCTGGAAAGCCACTGGTTTGTGTGGGTCACACAGATGAACCACCTCGTCATGGAGATTGACCACGAGCCCTACCGCGACTGGTTCAGCAGCCAGGTGAGGGCAGCCAGAGCTGGTCACCGGGGCCCAGTGGAGCCTGTGGGTCCACCTCCCTGGCCTCCAGCACTCGGCTGCTCACTGGGCCTGGTGCTGTACTGGGCTTCCCTAGGGCTGCCTGTGGCCTTCCGTTGGGCGGGCCCGGCGGGGAATCTGGGCGGGCCGAGGTCTCTAGGCCGGGCGGGATGTTAGGGAGGGGTGGGCCTCATGGGAAGGAGACGAAGCCTTTCCTTCTCCCTTGTCCTGGCCTCTCACCCCTCCCCTCCGCAGCTGGTAGCCACCTGCAACGTGGAGCAGTCCTTTTTCAACGACTGGTTCAGCGGGCACCTCAACTTCCAGATCGAGCACCAGTGAGCGCGGGCGGGCGGGCAGGCTGGGAAGGCGGGTGGCACCGGGGGAGGGAGGAGGTCACCAGCCCCATCTGGGCACGGGCAGCACATGGGGGCTACCTCCCTCTCCACCCTGGCCAGGCCCCGAGCGTGGCTCTGCAGCCAGCCCACTGAGGTGAGGGGGAGGGGCTCACACGGCCCTATGACAGCCACCCCTCCTGAGTGGCCCAAGCTTTGTCATTACAGAGGTCTCCCTTGATCCTGCAAGCCTGGCAGGGCAGGGGGATTGATCCCTTTATTGACAGGGAAACAGAGGCCCAGCTCCCCCCGCCCCCGTGCGCCGGTCTCCTGGGGAGGGGCGGGGGGCCGCACAGGGAGAGCTGTGGACAGGGTCTCCCTGGCCCTGACCGCCCATGTCTGTGCGGGCTGTGAGCGGAGGCGGGGGCGCCCTCACCCTGTCCCCGCTCTCCCCAGCCTCTTCCCCACCATGCCTCGGCACAACCTCCACAAGGTCGCACCGCTGGTGAAGTCTCTGTGCGCTAAGCACGGCATCAAGTACCAGGAGAAGCCGCTGCTGAGGGCCATGCTGGACATCATCAGGTAAGCGGTGGGGCGGGGGGGGGCGCGGGGTTCCTGGGGCCCAAGGGAGCGACCGAGAGGCGCGCAGCTGGGACTGCCCACGTTGGGGACTGACAGCCACCAGAGGGGAGGAGCCCTCCTGGCTCAAGTGTCCCCACCGGGCCACCTCCCTTACTAGGAATGACCTGGCTTCGCTCTGGGCTGGATGGGGACCCTCCCTTTATCCTTCCTCCAGGGGTTCCCCGGGGAGCCCTGAGCAGGCAACCCTGCAGCCCCGCTGAGAGCTGAGAAGCACCGCACCCCCAGCGCGGCCTCTGCAGCCACCCTCTCCCTAGGGCTCCCCTGACGGTCCCCTCCTCTTCCCAGGTGTCTGAAGAAGTCCGGGGAGCTGTGGCTGGACGCCTACCTCCACAAATGAAGCAACAGCCCTGGGGGCACCCACGGGGAAGGGGGAGCAGGTGGGAGTGCTGGCCACAGGGAGGGGTGGGCTTTTGTTCTGAGGGGTGTCCACGAGGTTGGGGTACATGCTGGCTTGGGGATCCCATTTTTGGTCTTTCTGCTGTTTTTCTCTCCGCTTTCGCTTCGCTTCTCTCTCTGACACCCTCCCTCATGGGGCCGCCCTCTATCAGGTGGCCCCTCACCTTCTCCCAGCTCCCACCCCCAGGAGCAGAGAGAGGTGCTCTGTCCCGGCCCCCAGCTTCTGCCAGACCAGAGGTCCACAGATACCGCCCCATCTTGCTGCCTGGCCTCTAGGCCTCACACTACCTTGTCTTCCTCCGATAGTCCTGAGGTCCGTGGGGGACCTGGGGTCCTAGTTGGGCACCACGGCTCCCTGGTCTGCAGGCCCGGCCCCCCCCTCTGACATGGCCCCACTGGACCGGGGCTCGGGGCCTCCCTGCTGGCACCCCTTCTCTTCAGGTGTCCAGGGTCCTGGCCCTGACCCTGGCTCCCTTTGCCTGCAGTGCAGCCAGCTCAGACCTCGGGGCCCAGGCAAGTGTCCTCGCCCCGTGGGAGCCCCCTGACCCGAGGCTTGTGCTGTTCCATCCCACCGTCTGCCATGTCTCCCCAGCTCCACAGCCTGGGACCTGGGGGCCAAGGCGGCCATCCTGAAGGTGGGCTTGGCCAAGGCCATGGCCCGGTCAGAGGATCAGCCGGCCTGTTGGCTCAGCCCTGCCCCACCCCCCACATCCCCTTCAGATGTTTGACGGGGCTGGGAGACCTAAGATTCTGGAGCGATCCGACCCTTCTCCGAAGCGCTCCGTTACCTGCCAGGCAGTGCTAGTCAGTCTCTAGCTGCTTGGCCGAGTGGCCTTGAGCCCTTCAAGCTGCAGGAGGGCGCCTCACACAGCCCCTCCCCATGCGGGAACGCCAGTGTGGACGTGCTCACACTATCTTCTGCTCTCTCCTGTCCTGTTTTTTTTAACCTTTTGTTATAGATACATTCTGACAGGGGGAGCGACAACAGGGCTGGGCCTTGTCAGAACCTTTTCCCACCTGCCTCTCCGGGCCCCGCCGTGGGCTGAGCCCGCCCGGCTCACTCACGGAGGCCACAGGGACCCCAACTGTGGGGGCTGCAGGAGCCGCTGCTGTCGAGAGGGCAGCAGGGGCCCAGGGGGAGGCAGTGCCAGAGAAGATGACCCTGAGGATCTGGGGGGTTTGGGAGGGAGATATGATGAGGGCCCAGTGAAAACTGCAACAAGAAGTTTGAGGGCTGGAGGCCGGGCGGCGGAGGGGTTGGGGAGTGAGCGGGAGGGAGGGACCCGGGGCTGCTAGATTCGGAAATCTAACCCACTAACCAATATTTAGCTTCGGGGGAGGGGAGCTCAAAGTGGGGGCCTGTGGGGGAGGGCTGTCGTCCCCCAGCTCTGGCCAGCCACGGGGGACGCATCCTGTGTGACAGACCTGTGGGTTGCCATGGCAACATGGGCCCCCCCCCCCCAGGCCCTCCCGCCAAGAACACAGGCCCTAAGAGCTGTCCTTCCCTAGAGACAGAATGGATCCATAGGGAACTGATGTTAATTTTTACCATGTCACTTCCCCACCCCTACATTTTTTGGAAATAAAAGTAATTTTATTCTCATTTCTTGCACGTTAATGCTGGGCGGGCTGTCGGGACCGAGGAAGGGGCTTTGTAACCGGGGCACCGGGGAGGAGGCCCATGGTGGTGGAGGCAGGCTTTTTGTTGTCCCCTCCCCAGCTGCAGTCACCCTACCCCCATCCCCTGCTGCCTCTGCTCAGGAGAGAACTTCTCTCCCCTTCCCTGAAGTACATTCACACAAACCCAACCCCACACATGGCCACTGGAGCCCAAGGAGGCTTTCTGGAAGGTCTCTGGAGGGCAACAAGGAGAAGCACATTCCTGACCTCCCCATTCCCCATCTCTGTTCCTAGTTCCTCCTGGGACCAGCTGTCTGCTCACAATTTTCTGGTCAGTGCACAGAGCGCTGGGGGGCAAAGAGACTCTCAGAAGGGGCTTTGGAAAGTCCTGGAGACCTATGCTTCCATCCTATGGCCCCTGGGTCCAGCTCAGCGGCTCATTTGGTCCCCACACCCCGGGGAGACACCCAGGCCGTCTCAGCCCAGGGCCGCCAGGTTCACAGGCAGCGGCAGACAGTGAATCCTGGGTCTGTCCTACCGCCAAGCCTGGGCAAAGTCCACAGGGCTGTACCAGAAGCCCACATGCTGCCCTGCACCCCTGCCCGCGGGCTGGCTCGGCCAGCAGGTGAAGCTAGGTGTGCCAGCGAAGGGCCAAGGGGTTCGGCATAGCCAGCGCCTGGCCTTGTGTCTCCTCCCAGCAGGGCTGCGGGGTAGACCCTCGTGCCCCTCTTGCTTTCCCCGTGACCCCAGTATCACGGGCAGGGACAGCCAGCTGTCCCAGGTAGGGTGGGGGTGGTTCCCCAGTGGGTGCAGGGACTCGGCAGCAGGACCCGGGTTTGTAGGAAGGAGCCCTGAGCCAGGAGGCAGAGACCCACTGAGTGGCCTTGGGTGAGCCCCGTGCCCTGGTCGTCTGGGCCAGTCCCGCCATTTGTATAGGGAAGGCACTGGGCTGCCGTGATGCTGTCACTCTCCGCACCTGTGAGCCTTGGCCTGGCCCTTCCAGGAGAGAGGTCTTCGAGGCTGGAAGACCACAAGGGACACACCTTCCATCCTTCTTACCTGTGCCTGTGTTCTGCCTCCTACCTGGGCAGGGCGTGGCTCCTGGTCCCCCAGGATGGGACATTACAGGCCCCGCCACCCCACCAGCTCTAAGTTCATCCCCTGCGCCAAGCAGGCTCCTGGGGACAGGGAGAGTGGTGGGGAGGACTGACGGGCTTGGAGGACGTTGTGGCTCTGAGGGCACCAGCTAAATCTTAGATCAGGTCAGCGGGCACTTGGATCTTCGCTGTGGCTTTTTCCTTTTTTTAAAGGTTTTATTTATTTATCTGACAGAGCGAGAGAGAGCACAAGCAGGGGGAACAGTCAGTAGAGGGAGAGGGAGAAGCAGGCTCCCTGCCAAGCAGGGAGCCCGATGTGGGGCTCGATCCCAGGACCCTGAGATCACGACCTGAGCCGAAGGCAGACGCTTAACGACTGAGCCACCCAGGCGCCCCTCGCTGTGGCTTTTTCCCCCCACACCGTCTTTGTGCTCAAGTATTCTTACCCTGGCGGCACGAAGTTGGGGACACCCATACCTGCTCTCTGCTTAATTGTTTCTCCTGTCCCCAAACTCTGTGGAGGCTCTTGCCCAACACAGAGTCATGGGTTTCCCCACCCTCGCGCCCCATCCCAAAGTCATGAGTCCCTGACATGGGTGGTCCTGAGTGATCACAAGACCCGAAGCTTCCATTCTCGGTGGAGGCTGGGACCAGAAGGGCAAGAACTGGCCAGGGGCCACATGGTGGCAGCAGCTGGATCCCTGCTCCTCACCCCGCACTCTGCCTGGCCATCCCCTCCACTCCCTCAAGGCAAGGGCTGTTTCCCAGAACAAGACGTCCCCCAACACCATCATGTCAAATGTCAGACCACTCCCAAGAGGCCCAGCAGCTGGCCAAAGGGGGCAGAGATGGTGGAAGGAGTCCCTGGGGGGCTGAGAGCCTGCTCAGCTTGGTGGGTGGCCTGGGCACGTGCAGGGCGCTGGGCCCCGAGGAGGGGCTGGCCCAGCAGCCTGGGCTGTGCGTGGACCTGGAGCCGCAGCGGTGGTCAGTGCCCTGGCAAGTTCCTTAGGCGTCCGGTGGGCCACTCAGAAACCCTCTTGGTCCGTTGGGAGGAGAGAGGAGGCCTTTGGTGACAAGGGGCAGGGTGGAGGTGGCAGCCCTGGGCTCCAATTGCCTTTGGGAGTCACCGATCACTGCTCAGGAGATAGTGCCTTGGGCCAATCAGGACTCCTCAGCTGTCCTAGCTGCAACGTCCCTGGAGAGGTGCGTCACTCTGGACAGGATGCAGCTTCTCACAAAGCCCCTGGTCTGACACCTGACATGGAAATGAGAAACTGTGGATCCCAGGAGTGCCTACAAGCACTTTTGGGAAAAGACTGAGGCCCGAGGGGAAGGCGTGGCCCGGGTCCAGGAACTCGGGGTTCTCTGGGCTGCATTGGACATTTCGAATCAGACTGGCCAAGCATACACAACCAGCGGCCACCTAGCATGCTAGCATTTGAAGACCAAGTCTCCACTGCCCTCTGCCCTCATAAATGTTTCTTTGGATGTTGAAGGCATTTAGTTCTTTCTTCCAAATCACCTGGTTCAAGAATCCAGGAGAATTAGGGACAGGTCCCGAGAGCTTGGAAAGGGCCAAGCAGAATACGCAGCCAGGTGCTCCCAGACCTGCCGCGGGTGGGGGTGGGGGGACCCTGTGAAAGATCTATGACCTGTCTTGTCACATAGGAGTTCATTTATAACCCAGACCAGCCACTCCCAACATTACCGGCAGGTCTGGTTCTTGTGAATCTCCTTTCCCACCATCTGCCCGGGCTGACCACGGGAGACTCCGTAAATGCTGGTTGACTGAAGGAACAAATCAGCAAGTCCTGGCTGCCCACAGCCTTTCTGCTTTTCCTCTGCGCCCAAGACTATGTGCAGACCATCAAGCAGGGATCGGGGGTTTCTTGGAGGCTCCGCCAAGGCCCGTCCTTCTCTCCTTTTACACCCCTGGCCCACACTGCCTAGGTTTTTGTTCCAGGACTCCGGAAGAGACCTCCTGATAGAGAAGTGGAGCTCAGCTCAGGAGAGGGGTGATGACCTGTCCGCATGGGGGACAGAGTGGGACAAGGGCAAAGATGACCCGCCAGTGAAAGACACTTCCCCAAGTGTCCTCTGAGCAAGTCACTAGGCAACCACCGATTTGCAGAGGAAGAGCGCACTCCCCGAGGCCACCACCAGGGGCAGCACGGAGCGTGGCACGCCCCACCGCGGTGCAGATACTCTGGACGCCCCTAGGTGGCGTCGCAGGCTCAGCATTCCCCACCGCGGGGACGTGCCGCCCCCAAGGACAGGGTGTTAACATTTCCGGTAGGTGGCTGTGCATCCGGGCCACGGCAGGAAATGCACTGACGGCCCAGGAGATCGAGGGACTGCCGTCAGGGCCCACATGGCACCCGGAGGCAGCAGGGCTTCCATAGGCGGCCACAGGAAAGGGGGTCTCCCAGCAGAGGGAACAGCCTGGGCAGGGGCCCTGAATGTGGGATCTGCTCTGGACATGGGGTCAGAGACAGCCACGGGCTTGTCCCAGGTCAGGGCAGGTGGCGCCCCAGGGTGTTGGAGTGCGTGCACGAAGTTTTAAAAAATTCTGAGCCCTGTTGTTAAGCCCTATGCAAAGAACCTTCCACCACCCTAGGAGGTCATAGTACCGCTCAGAGAGGTTAAATAACTCCCCACAAGGTGATACAGCCGTGAGTCCCAGTGCAGGCAGGACCCCCATCCCCCCACCCGGTTTTCCTGACCAGAGAAGAGTGGGTGGGAGCCGCATGGAGGGGCTCAGGTGGGGGGGGGGGTGGTCCTGGGAAAGGACTGGAGAAGATCTCCAGGATGTGTGCCCCTTCCACCTCCTGAAGAGAACCCAGCCCGCGGCAATGGCAGGCCTGACAAAGTGAGGGGCATCCTGCGGCGGATGGGGGGACTCCGGCTCCCCCTCCAGAAAGGCCCTCAGAGAAATCCTAGCTCAGCGCTTCATTTTCTTTAAGCTGCTGACACCACGCAGGAACCTGGTCCCAGGCAGGCGTTCGAGAAGGCCGGTGTCCCCCGCTCTTGGGGGCCACTGGGCGCAGTCAAGCTGCACCCCCACCAGCCTGATGCCAAGTGCAGGACCAGCGGGTGGCCCGAGGAGGCCCCTCATCACGGAGGCTGCGGGAGGCCAGTGCAGGTCCGGGCCATACTGGCTTCGCTTCCTGTGCTCACGGGGCCCCTGTGGACATGGCCTTCTGCCCTGAGCCCTGGTCTGCTGGACCAGCCCCCGTCCCGCTGTGTAGAGGACTCAGGCGAGGGGACCCCAACGTGACTGCCCAAGGTTGCTGGTGAGTGGGTAAAGAATAGGAAGGGACGGCCCAGGCCCACAGAGAGATCTGAGCCTGGGGCAGCTGCTGGCTCCCCGACCCAGGGCAGAGGGGACCTCTGAAAGTCACCATTTATCCCCCTGCCCCCATCTCCCAGCACCCAAGGGCCCGAACTCCTCTCAGGAAGTCTGGGGCAGACTCCAGCCCCAAGATTCTTGCAGATTCACTACTCTACTCCATCACAGATCTGGGTTTGTTTTTATATAAAAATAACAGTTTTCCCTAAATTTTTGCTCTAGGAAAACATGCGATGCTGTGTGGCTTTATGTACCATCCCCCTAGCCCTGGTCCTGTTTGGCCAAGAACCATGGCCTTAGGGCTGCCAAGCAGACAGGTGAGGGGGCCGAGGTGAAGACAGCAGAGTGGGCAGGGCCCCCTACGCCAGGTGGGGAGGGGGGCAGGGGGGCGGAGGGGTCAAGCCTGCCTGGGCCAGCTTGGTGGCAGCCGGGGCCCTGCATGCTGCGCTCACTGGTGGAGGTAGGCTTCCAGCCAGACGTCGCCAGACTTCTTCAGGGATCTAGGAGGCAGAGATGGGGTGGATGTGTTGACTGCAAGATACTAGCCCCTTCCCCCCCAAGACAGTGAGGGTGAGTGGACTTATCCCCATTCCTCTGGGGCAGGAGGCTGGCATGGGGGTGGGGGTGGTGCAGAAGGGTCACTGGGAGAGGCCTTTGCACTCTTCCCTTGCCCCAGGTAGTCTCTCCCCCCGCCCACCGCCACACACATGTCCCCATCCCAGCCCTCCCCCCTCGTCCCCATCTCTGCTCACGTGGCGCCTTCTCAATACCACCTACCCTGCCACCCTATTAAAAACCGCAAGTCCTGCCTGGCCCTCCCATCCCCTCGCCCGCTCCCATTCTTAGGTTTCATGGTTTTGTTTTGCCAAAGCATATCTTCTCTTCCCACATTTTCTGTACTTATTTTAACTGCTTTCTGTTTCCCCTACTAGGATGTCAGCTCCAGGAAGGCTGGGATCTCGGCCTGTTCTGCTCATAGACACTGATGCATCGACAGCCCTCAGGACAGGGCCTGGGCCCCCAAAGGTGCTCCCTAAACCCGGCGGTATGAGAGAGCCCTGGGAAAGGAGGGAGGGCACAGGCTGAGGACAGAAAGTTTGATCAGAAAGGCCTCGAGTGCCAGCTCTTGGAGAGGGACCCGTGTGCCCAGGAAGGGGCCCCAGGGGAGCCGCCGCGCATGGAGGGCCCTTACCCAATGATGTCCACCAGGGCGGTGAGGAAGGGCTTCACTTCGTAGTTGAGGCCATGCTTGGCACACAGGGCCTTGACCAGCGGGGCCACCCTGCGGTAGTTGTGCCTTGGCATCGTGGGGAAGAGGCTGGCGGGGAGAGTGTGGGCTGGCACCTGAGGTGAGGGGGTGCCGGAGGGAGCCCCTACCCACCCATCACCTCCCAGGCCTCCAGGGAGTCCCGGGCTTATGTCTTGGCCTCCCCAGGGAAAGAGCGGACACAGGGGCCCCTCGTCAGCCCCTGGGCTCGGGACCCACTCCCACCCCCGTGGGGCCTCCAGGGACCACGCTCACTGGTGCTCAATCTGGAAGTTGAGGTGCCCGCTGAACCAGTCAGTGAAGAGCGAGGGTTCCACGTTGCAGGTGGCTGCCAGCTGCCAGGAACGGGTGGGGCACCGGTGAGACAGGTGGGCAAGGGGCCCGGACCTGGCAGCCCTGCCAGGGCCCCCGCTCCCCCTAGCGGGGACTCGGCCCGGCGGCGCCCCAGCAGCCCACCTGAGAGCTGGCCCAGTCCCGGTGCTTCTCGTGGCCGATCTCCTTGGGGATGTGGTTCATCTGCGTGATCCACACGAACCAGTGACTCTCCAGGACCCTGTGAGGGGAGACTCAGGCACTGCCCATGTCCAGCTCACCACCTGGATCAGACCTGGGCCTCGGCTTCCTCATCTGCGCCACGGAATTGCAGTAGCCCCTCCCCCACTGGGCAAAGCAGGGGCCATTGCTCAGCGGAGCCCAGAGCAGCCCTGCTCGTGAGGGTGGCCATCCACGGGGCCCCCTGTAAGCCAGGCCACGTCCCCCAGACCCACTGTCCCTGGGATCCTGCCACTCATGTTCCTCAGCCACCCAGGGAGGCAACCCTGCTGTCCCCATACTGCAGATGGGGACGTGGAGGCTCTGAGAGCGGAGGGCTGTGGTCGGGGTCCCCTGCTGCCTGTGTGTGGCCTCTCCAACTCGCTGCCATTCCAAACCTGGCCGTACCTGACAGCGACAAAGAGGAGCAGGGCCCCAGGGAGGCCATAGAAGGGACTGTAGCACAGGAAGAAGCGCGAGTAGAAGCTGGCGGCCCAGAGCAAGTCCTGCGGAGGAGGGGAGAGGAGCACAGAGGCCCCGAGGCAGCCGGGAGGGGAGTTGGGGTCATCCACCCCTCCTGCTGGCTGTGCCTCGGAGCCCTGCACGGGTCCCCGTCTGCCTCTGGGCCTCGGTTTTTCTCAGCAAGATAAAGGGACAGGGTCCTTTTGCCTTGCCAGCCTCATGGGACTGACTCTGGAGGGGAAGGTGCCATGGGGGGGGCCCCTCTGTGGGAGACAAATGCCTGGCAGAGTCGGCCCAGGGGATCCCCACCCCCTGGAAGGACACCCTGACTGGGAGAGACCCCCAGCACACCCCGTGCACACTCACGTGCGCGCGTGCGCACACACACACGTGTATCAGAGTCCCGTGCACACCTGTTTGCATTCGTGGGCAGGGCTGCCCCCTCGTGCCCTACCTCCTGCTGCCACAGCTGGCTTCCCTAGGGGACCCGAGCAGAACCCCCACTCACCGCCCACTGCATGCACACCAGCATGTAGGCCAGATTTTCCACTTCAAAGTTCACCAGCGTGAGCAGCGGTGGGCCGACTGCAAGGGAGCACAAGGGGGCTCAGGAGGAGCAGGGCTGGGGTGCCAAGCAGAGCAGGCCGAGGGTGGACATCCACGGGGCTTGGGGAGTTGGGGAGCGAGGAGCTGTTATCCCGGGAACACCTGTGGGACCTGGTGCCGGTCCCCTCCAGCTGGGTGACCTCGCATCACCCACAAGGCCTAGTCCACGATCTTCCCTTGGCATCTGAGCCTTCCGCAGGCTGGGGCCAGCTTCCCACGTCCCGACCCTTAAACCCTCACCCCGGCCGCCCCAACGACTGTCCTAATGCTCTAGGGCTCCGGACCCCTCTGGTGTGAGTGCAGGAGGGAACTCCGAACGCTTCGGGCAGGGCAGGGCCATGGCGGCCTCTGGCGAGGGGACAGTCAGGCCTGGCCGCAGGCTGGGGTGACCAGGGCTGGGAGAGGCCTGCAGGTGCCGTATGGAGGGAGGTTTAACAAGTGGGCCCCTGTCCCGGGAGGCGGTGGCGACCTCTGTCCAGGGCTGGCAGGCACGGTCCCAGGCCCCACTGTGCCCCCACCTCTGGCAGGACGCACAGACACTCACTCAGGAAGAAGTACAGATGCTGGTGGTTGTAGGGTAAGTAGCGACGCTTCTTCTTGCCGTACTGTGGAGACAGCCGGGGCTGGGGAGAGCGGCCCACCAGGCCCTCCTCCTCCCAGGTCGGGGCAGGGGGCTGGCTGGGGGCAAGGCAACCCCAGGTTCTGGCCACTGGGCCCATCCCCACCCCCCACCCGGCTGGCAAGCAGGGAAGAGGAGCCCCTCGGGCAGGGGCGAGGCCTGGAGTCGGGGGCGGGGGGAGCTGGGTCAAGGGCCAGGTCTGGGCTACAGCAAGGGACTCGGTGGCCACAGTCCTCCCCGCCCCCCCCCAATGAGCTGCAGGCCCAGCCGAGTGAGTCCATATTCTCCCCACACACCTCAATGGACGACTCCCCCAGGAGGAAGATGGGTGCCACGGTCACGTCTGGGTCTTTGTGGAAGATGTTGGGCTTGGCGTGGTGCTGGAAATGGCGGAAGTTCCACCAGTGGGCTGAGAAGCCCTATAGGGGTGAGAGGGGCTCTCAGGGCAGGGGCCGGGTCCTCCACCCTGTGCCTGCAATCTCGCACAGACCCGGCGAGACAGCCCCAGCTCAGCCCCCGGCTCCCGACCACCCGCCCCCACCCTCACCTTCAGCTGCCCCATCACAAACTGCTGGGCCACGTGGTTCCACTGGGACTTCCTGAAGACCGAGGTATGGCCCAGGTCATGCTGCAGACACCAGCACTGAGCCTGGGGGCAGGAGCAGGGTTAGGAGCCGGTGGGAGGGAACCATGGGGGGCCCAGCTCTGGAGCCCCAGGGAGCCCTCCCAGGTCCCAGGGCACCCCCACAGCTAATGTTGGGTTTTAAGACCCTGTGAGCCATCTTCCTCTCTTTAACAGATGAGGACAACTGAGATTCGGGAGGCCTAGGGGCTTGCAAGTCTGTCAGGGAGCTCGTTTAAAATGCAGCTTGACCTACAGATACACGCCTTTTGGGAACCTCTGCTGCTCATTCATTCATTCATTCATTCACTCAGCAAATATGTCCAGAGTGTCCTGGTGTGCCAGGCCCCGTATCTACTAGATAGTTCAGGTGGTGGCAAAACGGTGCTGGAGTCACCTGGGAGGTGGCCAAGACAAGGGCGGCAAGGGTGCTGGGCACCCAGCCCGGGCCGAAGAGGTAGATGAGGAGCCAAGCGAGCACCTCCATGGCCAGGATGTGGCCCAGCAGGAGAGCGAAGAAGGCGGGCTTGGCCTCAAACAGCTTCATGTCCTCAGCCGCCTGGCGCAGGGCGCGGAAGTCCTCGACCAGCTGGGCCTGCCACAGTGGAAGGGCTGGTCGGCTATAGAAGCGAGCTCCCAGTGGTCCCAGGGAGCCTCCAACAGCGACCCATGCCTCAGCCAGTCCCAGTGTGAGATCCTGGGGGTGCAGCTGGAGGGACGGAGGGGCGAGAGCACCAGCCTGGGGTCTGAGCCGGGGAGCCGGCTGGTGGCAAAGCCTCGCCCCACAAAAGGTATGGGGCACGTGAGAAGCAGAGAAAGCCAGAGCGGGGCAAACCCTAAGAACCCAGTGCGGCCAAACTCTCAGTGTAGATGGGGATACTGGGCCCAGAGCAGGAAACACCAGCAAATGCTGGCCCAGCCAGCCCCGCAGCCCCGGGTTCCCGCAGGCGTCCCTCTAGCTCCACCTTCGGCTACCTGCCCAGGGAGGGATGGTAAACCCAGCCTTGGCCCCTGGGGGCCCCTGGGGGGAATGTGGACGGAGTTGCTCCTGGCAATGCCCCCCCCAGCAACCCCCTCCCCCCAGCTCACGTCCTGGGGTCCATCCTGACTGGGCTCCTCCGGGGCCAGCTCTCCAATCAGCAGGGGCTGCAGGAACTTGCGCACGAAATTGAGGTCCTGGTGGAAGGCGTGGAAGGCATCCTGAAGGAAGGCCAACAGTCAGGGGGACAGACAGACAGACAGCTCCGGCAGCCCCCAGAGGCAGCAGGCAGACAAGGCAGGAGGAGGACCGCGGATGGAAGTGCGGGGCTCCGATGGATGGAGACGCAGCTGAATGTTTTGTGGTCATATAAATAGGGCCAAACGGGTCGGCCTTGCCCACTGGCCCGGCTGGGTCCTCCCCAGGCCCTAGGTGTCCTGCTGGAAGCTCCTCACCTGCCTGGCCCCAGCTGCTTCCCCCAGAAGGGGGGTGGGGGTGGGGTCCAAAAATCAGGCAAGGGCCACACAGACCAAGTTCTTAGGTTTGCAAGGGAGACACTGAAACAGTTAAACACATTTGATTTTAAAAACAGAGGGGAAAAACAGCACTTTTTTTAAAAAAGCAAATGAAATAAGTATCACACATTCCCGTGATTCTGTTAACAGCTGGGGGTGGGGTGCCATGCGACAGGGGTTAGAGGGCCAAAGCCAAAGCGCTAGGGCCCGGGACCAGTGAGGAAGCCGGCCCAGGCAGCTCTGAAATGTGAGCAAACTGGGCTCCCTTAGTCTTGCTGATCGAGTCCTGGTGCCACAGGCTTGTTCTTGTTCCCAGTTCTTCACTGGATCTTTATCCCTGGACTTTCAGAGGCTCTCTCTGAACGAACTAGCCCTCGCCACCCAGCTGCCCTGACCAGGGACTGGGGTGAGAGGCTGTCCCGGCGGGCCTGGGGAAGGGGCCTGCTGGCTGCCAAAGGAAACAGCTTTGAAGAAGGCTGAGAACGCATGGGGCCTCCTATTGTTCCCTTGCTAACAAGCCTTCCAGCTTCTGGGGGATGTTCAAACGGACAGCTGGGCCCCTATACTTGCTACTGGACATCCCACGCGGTCCCGTGGGGAGGAAGCACTTCAGGCCCCTCCAGCCCCCACTTAGAGGCCACACCTGCGGAATCCACCCGAGGGGTCCCTTTTCCTTTTGTCTGCTCTCTTGCTGGCCCGGAGCAGCCTAGAGACGGGATGGGGGTGTTGCTGGGAGGGTGAAGCTTCTGGAATAACCTAGGCCCTGGGGAAGGTGACTTGGGGGCCCTTTCCTGAGCTCCTAAGAGGGGAGACGGCTGTGTAGTGCAGACCTCCCCCTCTCCAGGGTGACCTTGACTTGGGGGAGAGGAGGTGGAGGGGAGACTGGCCCCACAGGAAGCTTCCTGGCCCGGGGTCTCCTGGGAAGCCGGGAGGGAAGACAGCTCTGGGGCTCCAGCTGACCCCACTCGCTGTGACCTTGAGCAAGTCTGTCCTCCTGCTGGGACCAGGCAGAAGAGGGCAAGACTCCAGCACCTTTCTGGCTCTGGACTCAGAGCATTAACTTTTTTTGTTTTCTTACTTTACTCTTTTAACCATCTTGAAGTGTGCAGTTCAGTGGCATCAAGTGCATTCACACTGCTGGCGACCACGACCACAATCCACCTCCGCAACTTTTTCACCTCTGCCCCCACGGAACACTGACTGCCCCCCCTCCCCAGCCCCCGGCAACCACCGCTCTGCTGTCTCTAGGAATTTGACTGCTCTAGGGACCTCTGATAAGAGGAATCAAACATATTTGTCCTTTTGTGACTAACTTGTCACTCAGCATCCTGTCCTCAAGCTTCATCCATGTTGTAGCAGGTGGTAGAATTTCCTTCCTTTCGAAGGCTGATGAGCACTGACTCTGATTCCTGCTTGCTTCCTCTAAAACTCCCCTGGCAGCAGAGAGCTACACCACAGGATTCCTTCCCTCCTCTTCCAGCCCTTCTTCTCCCCCATCCTCTGTGTTCTGGGGCCACCCTGGCGCCCAGCAGACCCCCAGATGCTCCAGGGCCATGCTCTGGAGCTGAGTTGCTGCAGGAACAGGCCAGCCTCCTGGACTCTCTCCCTGGGTCCCGACTCACCCAGGCCACGCCTGGGGATGCACCAAGGCCGAGGGCCACCTGAGGGACTTCCAGCCAGGTCTATCCCCTGGCATGACAAGGGGAAGTGTGAGCCCCCAAAGGGCCGGTGAGAAAATCCCACAGCTCACAGACAAAGCTCTGGCTAATGAGAGGGGATGGGCAGGGCTGTGGCAGGTCCTTGGAAAGCAGGTGGGCACCGCTGAGCCTGTTCTTTTTTTTTAAGATTTTATTTATTTATTTATTTGCGAGAGGGAGAGGAGAAAGAATCTGAAGCCAACTCCGGACTGAGTATGGAGCCCAATGCTGGGCTCAATCCCACAACCATGAGATCATGACCTAAGCCGAAACCAAGAGTCGGACGCCTAACAGACTGAGCCACCCAGGCGCCCCGAGCCTGTTCTTCTCATGCTCTCAGTCCCAACAAGGTGCATCGCTGGCCTCAGACCAAAACCTGATGCACCAGCAAACAGCTTTTGCTGGAACACTTGCCAGGGCCATGTGACCAGATCCTCTCTGGGCCGCTGCTTAAGGACCCAGGGGCTGGGCAGAAGACTCAGAGAGGTTAAGCCACGGACAAAGGTCACACAGCTCCATCTGATGGAGATTAGATCAGAACCCAGTCTGACTGTAAAACTGTGCTTGGGGGCCACTCAGCAGTAGCCCCAGGGTGACCACTCCTGGGCCAGAGAGGAGGCAGTGGGTCTCCTGGGCAGGGGGTGGGGGGCGGGGGGGTGGAGCGTGGCCCTCACCACAAAGCTGGCCACCATCCCACAGAGCCAAGGACCCAGCTGCTTGGAGGCTGGACTGTGGGGCACAGGAGGGGGGGTCCTGGCGTTTCTTGGGCTGCACCGCCTGAGGAGACCCCACCTTCACCTACCCCTGGTGCACCTGGAAACATCCTACGGTCCTCCCCCACCTAATGTGCCAAGGTGGCACTCCAGGTCTCTCCCGTGGGCCTGGAACAGAGCTGGGTGAGGCTGCCGGTGGCCCTAACATAAGCTGCTAGTAGCAGTGAGAGGCTCCGTCCACAGGGCTGTCCCCAGGGCCTGGCAGAGCTGGGGCTGGATAGCAGGTGTGAATAAGGGGACAAGAGCCAACTCTCCACAGCCCACAAGGCAGGGGTAAGAACCATTTTACTGGAACGGAGGCTCAGCGTGGTAGGGGCATCCGCCCAGGCCAGAGATCGTCACGGCAGGGCGGGGATTTGAATCCGCCCAGGCCAGAGATCGTCACGGCAGGGCGGGGATGCCCACGCCCTCCCAGCCCTGCCTCGGCCCCTGCAGGGGCTCCTGCCCTGCCCCACAGCCCCTCGTGAGCCCCGAGTAGCAGCCAGCTAAGGCTCTGCACCAGCCTGCTGGGGCCGGCATCTGAGCAGCGTTACGAGCCGAGTTGGGGAGCACAGACAAGATCGCACGCCCCTCCATTTCGTATTTCCTCATTAGGACAGCAGAAACCACCGACGCCCATCTCGTGGGGCTGCCGGGAGGACGGAGTCAGTGCAGGCCCTTAGAAGGGCCTGGCGTCCAGCTCTGGCCGAGCGCCCCCCCCCCCGCCCCACCGCTGGCCCAACATGCCCCTCTCCCAAGTCCACTGGGGTTTAGCGGTCTCCAAGGGCGGGCCTGTGGGCGTTGAGGTAGGAGAGTGGAGTGCACCCTGCCAGCCGGAAGCTGGGGAACAGGGACACAGTGGGGACGGGCAAGCATTCCTGGTCACTCCCCGAAGGATCGGGAATGTTCCAGATCAGGAAGGGAATGCAGCAGGGCTGCTGGGGGCTCAGGTGGTCTGGGTCTGTCCTTGCGGCCTCCTTAAGCCTCTGTTGAGTTGTGACAATGGGAGGTGGGGGGGGGTAAGCCTCAGGGAATACCCCAGGAATCCCTCCCTCCGTCCCTCTCCCAGGTGGGAAGATGAAGGAGGCCCTCATGCCCAGCACGCATGCTCCTTCCCATCCCCCGACCCCAGCACTCCTTATCGGAGCCAGTGGGAAGGTAGTATCAGGGTCCCCGTTTTATTGACGGGGACACGAAGACACAGAGGCTCTGAACTCTGAACACGGCCCACCCAACTCCCACCCGTGCAGGCCAGCCCAGCGCAAGGACAGACCCTCCCAGAGAGCCGCTCCCGGTGCCCCTGGTGATGGGCCGGTACCCACATTAGGGTTCCACCCAGCACCTTGGCTTCGCAAGTGTCAGGCACCCCAAAGGGGCCAGGCCGTCTGACACGTGGTCCTTTCTCTACCACCACTCTCCCGCTCTGGCTCTTCCTAGCTGTTTCGTGGGAAACCACGCTTGGGTGCCCTCGGCAAGAAAAGCAGAGGGTCACCAGCGTGCTGGGGCCACGAGCGTCCCTACATCTGCACGGTGTTCCTGCCCAGCACTCCCCCAGGGCAGGAGCCTGGCACTGCAACTACCCTGGGAAGGAGCCTGAGTGGGTGGGGACCCTGCAGAAACCACCCACGGAGCCCAGGGAGGTCACACTCCATGGGGAGTGCTGTCAGGCAGCTGGGCTACGCGGGCAGCCGGCGTGGTGGGTGGGAAGAGCATGGGCTCTGGAGCCAGGTCCTCTGCATTCCTGGCCAGCCCCCTCTGAGCCCCCCCCCTCCAGAGCCCCCCATCTGCCCCACCTCCCCCCAGCTCCGACCCAGACACAAACCCCACCCTCCAAGCCCAAGGACAAGGCCCTGCCCTTTGAGGGCCCCAAGAAAGTCCCTTCATGTCACCCACATTCAGCCTGTCTCCTCATCTGCAAAATGGGCCAACACTCATACCTGCCTTCAGTGCGTTGTTGTCTGAACACCCCCTGAAGCTAACTCCTAATACCGCCCCCCCTGGTGCACCTGGGCTCCGAGCAGCTCCTGCCTTCTGCCCTGGCCATTTCTGCCCTTCAGAGCCCAGGTGAATGGCCACCTCTTCTGAGTGACCTCACCTGGGAGAAGGTAGGTCCCCACCGTCTCTTCCCTTAGCCTCCTGCCCTTCTCCTGGAGGGCTCTGCCTTCCCCTCCACATTAGGGATCCTTTTAAATGTATCTCAGATTGCCCTGGCTTCCCTGCTCTGCCCTCCAAGATCCCCTTAGAATAAAACCGAAGTTCTGCTTTCAGGGACACGGAAGCCCAGCAGGAGCCAGCTCCCCGTTACCTCTGGACCTCACTGCGTGCCCCTCTCCCCACGACTGCACTCCAGCCCCGCCAATATCCTTGCTGTTCCTTGAGTACCTTCCCACCTCTGAGTCTCTGCTCTAGCTCAATCCTCTGCCAAGGAACTTCGTCCTTGGTCCTTGCGATGTTTTGTTCGCGGCTGTATCTTCAGAGGTTAGAACAGAGTTTGGTGGATACAGTATGCTCACTGAATATCTATCTGCTGGTGGGTTTAATGATTCAGTAAGTGAAGAATGAATGAATGGGAAAAACCCAGTTAAGCCACAGGGCAGCATGTTTAAGAGGATGGGCTATGGATTCACATCTCAGACCCTGCCACTTAATTTCAAGTCACTTTCCTTTTTTGAGCTTCAGTTTTCCCATCTGTAAAGTGGGAAAATCACTAAAAGTACCTGCCTCATAGGGGTATCCTGAGGATTAGAAGAGTATCTATCAATCAAATGCTGAATTTGGAGCCCAGCACATAGTAGGTACTCAGTGCCCAGCCCTGGTATACTTCTGACCAGCAACAGCCGGGCCTCGCCCTTCCCTGGCTGGCTCAGCTAGTCTCAAGCCGCCTCTGACTTCTTAGGCAAACCTGGCTCAGGGCCCAGAGCACTCTCCCCAGGGTACCCAGCTTTGTATCCCAGGATGGCCACAGGCTGACTTCATGGCACAGGAACTCTGGGAATTTCCTGGCAGGAAGGCTTCTGTTGCCTGGACATGAGAACAGCTGATGGGCGGCTGGGGCTAATGAAGGGTGGGGAGGGAACACAGCCTGGAATGGGGTGCCTGGGGCCTGGACTCGACCACACACAGCATCTGTCATCTGTGCTGTGGGCCCATCAGAGACAAACGTTGGGGCCCCCCGCCCCCCAGCCACCTCAGAACCCCTTTGGCCCGAACAGACCAGGTATTTCTGGCAGCTCCGGCCCAGTGTTTGGAGCCCTGAGGAAGCTAAGATGGCCCCAGTGCAACTCCTTCCCGTTCCAGACCTGGATAGAACGAGACAAGGCCACCCAGCCCAGGGGCGGCCATGCCCCGGCTAGTCCACTGCCCTGTGTGGTTTGCAGGGCACACTCACGCTTACCAGCCAGCCACACGTACCAACCAGGAGCCACTACGTGGCAGCCCCAGGACCACAAAGTTGAGAAGGCACGGTCTTGCCCGCAGGCGGCTCACTGTCTGGCTCAGCTCTCCCCACTTTACAGATGAAGAAACTGAGGCTCAGAGGAGTAACACCTGGTTCAAGGTCACTCAAAGTCTCCAGTGGCAGAGCCAGGACCCAGCCCCAAGGAGCAGACAGATTGCTTTTTGGAAATGGGAAACAGACCTTACTGGCGATGAACCAATGCGAAATCTGTCAGATGGAGGCCTCGGGGTCGAGCCCTAACTGTATGATGGGGTTCCCATGCGGGAGGCCCCCAGCACCGGCCTGGGCACCAAGCAGGAGCAAGTAATTGAGAAATGCTCTATGTCATCCTTCCCCTCTCCTGCCTCCATCCTGCCCCTCAGCCCCAAGGTTGGGGTGGCCTTGAGGGGTGGTCAGAGTCGTGGCACCTCACCCCCCCAACCCCCCAGCAGAAATGCACACACGTACGACCATGCACACAAATGTGTACAGTGCACATGCATACAGGCCTGTGCGTGGTCACACACTGTTGGCCCCCAGTCATCTTCAACTCCATGGCCACCACCTGGCCCATGGACAAGGCTTTCTGTCAGGTTCTAGACTTTCAGGAGGCTTCTGACTCTAAACCCTCAGTTTCTTAGGGTAGAAGTGGGGAAGAAAGACCTTTTCCCTTAAAGAGTCCATGGAGATCGCCCAACCCGGCAACCCTGGTAAACAGGGACACTGACCTCCTGGGACAGAGCACAATTTCTTCTGCTGCTTAAAGTTCTGCCAGTTAGGGATTCATCTCCTGATATCTTGAAGACTCCTGGTACTCAGGGTGGCCAACCCAGAATTCTAGACGTTCAAGGCAGAGCATCGTGGCCTCAACTCGTCGTCTCTGGATGGGGGGACTGCTGGACTCCGGCCAGACAGTCCCAGTGGACCAGGCCACATCCCTCCTTGGCAAGGCATGTCTAGACATGGGCTGGGAAGGGGAAGTTGGGGTCCGCCAGGGCCAGCCTATTCCTGGGGTGACCACGCTTCCCGAGGAGGCCCACCCAGCCTGGCTGGCAAAGTTCTCCCACGTGTAGCTGCCAGCCCAGGAGAGGTGAGTCACTGCCCCCAGAGCGGTTTACAGTGGCTCTTGCAAAAGCCACAGACCTCTGGGCCCTGCCCAAGCTTTGCTGCCCAGCCCCCAGCCTCTGGTGGCACATCCCTGCTAGTCTTCCGGGGGACCCCACCCTACCCCTGGCACTCAGCAAAAGGAACCTGGCCTGGGGGACCCAGAACTGAGAGGAGGAGCTCAGGGCACAAGGAGGGGCTCCTTGACCATGACACACCCACCTCTGAGAGCCCCTTACTCCTGCACAGACCAGCTCTGGCCCAGCCCGGCCCTGTGGCCAGGTGTGCAGGTCCTCCATGCAGAGACCTGGCCTCCTTACTCCACATCCGGCCCTGGCTTGTCCATCCCAATCCTGGGTCCTGGACCAGGAGCTCAAAGGTCAGCGAAGAGTAGAAAGGATGCCAGACCCCGCAAGTAGAGAGAGTCCCAGTGCCCACGACCAGGCCCCAGCCAGCGCCAGGCTCCACCCGGCCAGCGGTGGGCTTGCTTACCGTGGCGTCCTCCGCGCCGTGGTGGCCAATGAGGCGGCTGCCCCCCGGGTGCCGCTGTGCCCAGCGGCTGATGTCGTAGACGCGACGCTCGATGACCAGCCACTTGTCGCCCGGCAGGTTGTGCTGGCGGATCTGCTCCCAGCGGAAGGTGGGCAGCGGCGCCCCCGGCTGCGCGGGTCCCTCGCCGGGCTCCCCGACGCCGCCCATGGCTGCGTGCGAAAGCCCTCGGGCCGCCGGTACCTTGGCGAGGTCCGCCAGAGACCCCGAGGGGAGCGAGTCGCGGCCCCGGGGGCGTCCTCCGCCGCCACCGGCTCCTCCGCGGCCCCGCCCTGCCGC